CTAAATCTCTGCCTTTGATTTTTAGTCTAAACACCTTGTAGATGTCATAAAAATTCCTTTGAGATTCTAGTCAACTAATAAGAAAAGGAAATAAATTCCCGCATACCTGTTAGAGACCAGGACTGCTAGCCAGGAAAGAAATAAGGGAAAAGAAAAAATGGAAATAAAGTGTTTGTAAATGGGGAGGGGAAGAGGGGGTGAAGGGAGGGCAGGGACAAGGGGAAAAAATGATAACCGAGACCTGTCATGTAAAGAAAGGTACAAGATCCCAATAATGAATGTAATTGCACTGTATACCTAAAATGAACCAATAAACTCAATAAAAGAAAAAAAAATCTAGTTAATCTTGGCACTCAAGCCTCTAAGTTATACAATAATAGCTTGTTAAAGCTAGTACTAGAAACTTGTATTGTGAACTATATACAGTGTGTGTCAAGTAGGTACTGAGTGTGGACAACAGGGAGAACATATTGGTATAGAAAAGGATGGAAAATATTAAAAGAAAATGAAGGTCCTTCTAACCAACTAAAATGACCACCTAAAATGGTGTGAAAATTAGAAGGCAAGTGAAAAAGAAGAAGATAGTGTGTTTCATCGTACTGAGACATTTTGTTTATCTTCATTTAAAGAATTTAAAGAATAAATAGGTATTGAAACCATTTAGGTGAATATAAATGGAAAAGGTAGAAAAAGAACAAGAAGGTGATCGTGTGACAGATGTTAGTAGACAGATATAGAAACTGATTAGAGGTGGTAGAAAACTCCAAAGTTGGATGTATTCATTTTTATCTTCATATAAACTTTTGGCCCTGAGTGAATTTTGACCATTTAATCGTTAATGTAAACATCAAAACGGAAGAATAGAGGCAGATTCATATTCTGGTTTTTGAAATCCTACTATATATTTTTTTGGATTCGTTTAGTATATACACACGTTTCTCACCACGTGGATAAAATAAGAAAATATGGTGTTTGTGGGAGGTTGGAAGATAGGGGTTGAGAAAGTACTGAGTGAGAGATGGAAGGAAGCAGACCCACAGAAGGAAGCCTAGTGATTGAGAAACCAATGGCGGGTGATTCATAGGTGTGTTCTCAAGTGCACTGCTCACGAATAGCAGTTGTTAGATGCTGACATTATTGTGGCTCCTTCGTTGTGGGGGTGAATTTTGTTGTTGTTGCCAAATCTCTCTTTTTATCATGTAAACGTATTACATAAAATTTTGTTCTAGTCGTACGCTCACCAAATCCTCTCTAATTGATCCTACAAGTGAAAACTAGGGCAGGTGGTAACGGGGCAGGAAACATGGATAAATATGGAAAACGGATAAACCAACTCAGTAATCTCAGTTTTATGCCAAGTTAGGAATGTAACAGATATTGCCCGAATTTGATTGAGATAAAATCCTATGTGCACGTAGGACCCCAAACGTGGCCCAGAACCTGTCTTCTGATATCAGAAAGGACCAAAGGGACAATCGGACGTTGGATGGAAGTTGACACTAGAATATCTTGGCACCTCTGCACCAGCACCAGGTGGTCTGCTGTGTGATGCAGGTGCTGAGTGCATCAGCGCCTGGGGGCAGGAATCATTGCTGGTATTTCACACCGTCCTCACCATCTGTTGAAGCAAAGTTGGCAACATGGCTGGCATCAGACCAAAGCTGTGGGGCACACAGCGGCACAACCACACTGATATTCAGAGACTGCCCTAGCTTTGCTAACGCCCTTGTTTGAAAACTGAAGGACTGGGAAGCTTCTAGACTCAGCACATGCAGAAGACTCTATAGTGTGTTTGAAAACGATGAGGCTGCTGGTAATAGTGCAGAGAGATAGGTCTGCAAGTCAGCACAGGAAAAATTACTAACAGATTCCTTTATTGTCCATAAGGACATCATTTTGCTCATTCATCCTGCCATATTTAGGATCACAAGCTATTCTCGGAAGATATATGCATTTGAAAGTTAGGTATAAATGTGACATTAAGTGGACAGGTCTCCTTGATTACTTACAGTCTCCTTGTAGAGAAATCATGAGGGTAAGGCACACTAGATTCCTGCGACTTTTAAGACAACAGATGCAGTGAAACAGAAAGAAAATGGCAATAGGCAAATAAACGCAGCCTGATCAATGTGAAATGTGGACGTGGCTTCATTTCTCCAAACAAATCTCCCGGTAGAAACCATCATGGTGCTTCAAAAATTGTGTTGAGATTTGTCTTGCTATATTTGACCCATATATACATAGAGTACTTTTTATTCTGGGGGCAGAAGAAAAGAGACAGCAGCAAATTTCTAGATTGATCTACCTACCTTAGGATATTCTCTCCAGTTAGTCCTAGCCAAGGATGCAACACACAGACTCAGCTGATCTATACAAACTGTTAAAAGGGAGCCTCATTGATTTGGCCCCACTTATGGAAGAAAGCAGTGCTCAGGGCTAATCTAAAATTGAAACCAGAGTGCCTTACCCGGGGAGCTACTGTCCGTGGTAGGCCTTCAGCTCTTTTATACTACAACCAGCTACTTTATCGTTTGTCTTTCCAGTGAGGATTTATCCCACTGGACTGATTGGTTATCAGTCCACACAATGGTGCATTTCATCCTTGTAGTTTTCAAAGTAGTAATATAGCATAATGGCCTCAATTGTTCCATTCAAATATATTTCAGTACCAATGATATTGATTATACCAGGTGTGGGTAAAGTCACCTAAGTAGTCAAGCAAGTATGTGGTGGTGCTTAATGCCAACAGCTTCTGTACTCAGTTGGCTGTAGTAACACAGAAGAGGTAGGCCTGGCATCAGGAACTCTGAACATTATTGTCCGGCCTGAACTCCAGTATCATGTGTGCAAGTAGAAAAGTTTCTCTTCACTGGCACAGAACTGCACAGCAGAAGCTAGCGAAATAGTTGAAACCTGAGATGAAAATCTTAAGCTTCTCTGACTCAGCAAACGTCAGCAAAATGAGCTCTGTCCAGAATGATAATTCAGCACAAGCAGGCTGAAAGACGGATCGACTGTGTCTCTGGCATCAACTAGACCTGCACTCCCCGTTGTTTCTTACATCTTTTCAACAACTGAGAAACTGTTGGGAAGAGAGCAAACACAGGTGCTTATGATTTATGCAGCATTAGCCTCAAGCCTTAAATGTATAGCAAGCCAACTGCGTGAGCTCTGAACAAGCAACTTAATCACCGAGGGCCTCAGCTTTCCTGTCTGTTCAATGTATAAAAATAATAACAATGGTGTGAGAGTTGGTCCGAAGATTACATTAAAAAGCAAGTTCAAGTAAAACATATAGTGTGATGTTGAGTGAATAATAGATGATCAGTAAGATGCTGCTGCCAGTGGACCGAACTGTTACCGAGGGAACATTTAACAGAACACCCACAGCTATTCCAATAAAGTAACAGAAGGGTGCATCATTTACTACGGGTCTATCGTGCTGTCGGCTGTATTCATAGGGTGCTGCGATTCAACTGTAAAGGCATTTAGCTGGTAGATTTTGCACAGACAGAGAAACACTTGGTTTAGTGTTGTGGCTTGTGTCTAGATGTCCCCCAAAGCCTCATGCAGTCTTTTTCAAAAGTAGCTAAATCTGGAATGTGTGGTGCTAGGAGTAAGGGTGTGTGATTACTAAACCACTACACACGAGTGATTGGTTGGGCATTGCCCTAATCCCAGTACTATGAAAAAGGTGAAGGGAAAGGAAGGACACTGTTGAGGTCCCTTGTTGCTTTTGTTACTTTGTGGATACCATGAACTGTTTCTCCTCCGTGACGTGCCTCTGCCCTGTGCCACCCTGCCTTGGAGCCAGCTGATTATAGACTGAAACCTCTACAAACTGTGATCTAAATAAATCTTTCCTCCCTTAATTTGGGGTGTCGGTTATTTTGTCTCAGCAATGAAAGCAAAGTTACTAAGCATTTAATAACACCATCCGTTACATTTTCAGTCGGAGATATGACATTGCCTGAAAAATGAATCATAGGAAACTTTAAAGCAAAATTAAACAACTGATTTTTAAATGTACCTATATTAATTATTCTGTAGCGTGTGGATTATATATAATTAAGTAATGATTTCTTTTGTAAAGTTCTATCAGTATAAGAGAAAAGATCACCCCTTGAGAGCTGCCTCGAACTCCTGGGATTTGGAATGTTTTTAAATGGTCCTTTATATTTATTCTTCCATAAAATTCTTGCATTTCATTTGTTTATGCTAAATCATGAAATGTAGGAAAGCAAGCTATCAAAGAAAGAGCTGCAAAGGCTTCAGACAATGTTAGAGCAGAGGTCAGTTCTGAATTGTCAGTCCTGTCAAGAAGAGCGTTTTAAAAACTAAAATTGTCACCAATTTCTTTTAATGAACTTGACATTATTAAGGGCATATGTTATGCTCAAGGAAACCACTGCCATGTTTTTCTCAATATTCAACAATGCTTTTTTTTTTGAAGCCCCAAAATATCTTCACCAAAAGAGGTTGCTGCATGGGAATGGGAAGAACCTATTTCTAAAATATGTGCTCTGTGTCCTTGTGGCAATCTTTTCAGAAACATGGCAACAACTTATGGCAATCATCTTCAAATTAGCTTCGCTGGAAAGGCCTTTCTTATGAGGTGAAAGCAGAAAATAAAGGCAGAAAATGTCGGGTAAAAAGTATATGGAATAAAATATGTATATATTCTGCTTTAGAAACTCTGGAAAGACTTATACAGAGATATACATATATCTTAAACATGGCGAAATGTGAGCAAGGGAACCTGCAAGTATAGTACCTTTTTACCAATGTAATTTTAAAACTATGTCTTCATGAATTCCTCTTGCATGGATATTCATTTTTTAATTTCATTTCTTCAATGTGATGATGATTTTCTACACACTGGACTCCACTGACTTGATTCAAAGATTGAAGGACATGGGAAATTAGATGAAGTATTACTCTTTTTTATAATATAAAATTAATGTGATGTTTGTAATTTCCCTACTAATTGTTATGTCTTTCGGATAACTCCTACCATATCAAAGCTAGTTTCTGGACTCGTCTTGGGTCCACTTGATCTTGGCACTGAGGAGACCAAGGAAGAATGTTACCTTCAGCTTGTTGATGATTGAATAAAGGGACTGCATGTTAATGACTTATGAAGGCTCTGGAGAAAAGGCATACAGAGAACATACTCGTAATCTCTTCTTATCATTTTCAGCCCATGCAACAAACATGTTTCAGTAAATATGGATAGCCTTAAGAAATACATCAAATAGAACAAAAAGAGAATGGCAAAACTTTTTCAGTGCTTTTGACAAAGAATACTGCTATACCTGTGTTTTATTATAAATAAACAGGTTCTGTCATATTTTATCTTCTTGCCAGCAAATGAAGGACATTGTTTCATAAAGCTTCTAAAATGTACACGAATATTTAATTAAATCATATTTCCTTGAGAAAATAAAGTTCATTCGCATTTATAGCAGGTCGAGGGAGTTCGTAATGTTGTAAGACCAGGGTAGCCAGTACCGGTTGCTTGTGGAACAAAACTCCTCAATTTTTAAAACTTTTTTCTTTAAAAAATAAACATACAATCATAGGTGTTCATTTACTTTAAAAATTCTAAAGATGAAGAAAATTACTATATATTTAAGTCCTTGTATAAATTACAAAACTCAAGTTTATATTACAGAGTCCCTTCCCCATAGGAAGCATAAAGCACTTTTGTGGTACCTTTCACCAGTAAATATTTGTATCACATTGAATTTGACAAACAAAACAAAAGTCAATATTGCATCTTTAAGCCCTAAGAGAACATTCTTCTAAGCTGTCTCTTGTGATGAATGAGCTTCAGAAGTCACTTGATTGCCATGATTTAACTCAATCTCAAATAAAGATATGTAGAAGTAATATACATATTGACTTCAGTAGAACTCTGAAACATCAGTGAACGGCAGACTCTTCTTACTTGAGTTCAAAAAACACCCTTTGGAAGACAGCCGAGTAGTTTAAGACCGTGACAACAAAATAAAATTATAACAATAATAATAACAATAACAAAATAAAAATAACAATAAACAATGAGGTAAACTCCCCTTGAAAAAGGCAATACTTGTTGCCTTGACTGTCAGGAGAGAGTTCGATTGTACCTGACACCCAAATGTTTTTCTAACCAGAGTTCAGCCAGTTGCATGGTTGAAGCAAAAGTACTTGCTTTAGATCCTAAGCACATTTTGTATTGCTTAGGGTCCAAGTTCGGATCACAATGAACTGGATGGAAAATATGCACCACTCCTACTTCTTGACTTCTGAAAGGCCTTAAGCCAGATCGAATAACTTTATTGTACAGATCTACGTCTTCCAGTCCCCAGCCTTGTATTGAGGTATCGAATCCACCTGCACTCAGAAGATCACTCTTGTAAATACAAGTGATTCCATAGCCATAGTCTCTCCAAAATCCAGTCTTCTTTGAGAACACAAAGTCATCATCAGTGGGAAGATTTCCCCCATTGGTTACCTTTGGGTCATACTGGCTAAAGATGATGGGATAGTACACTTGTTGTCCCTGAAATGTATTATCTCTACATCGTTGGAGAAAATCTCCTCTAAAGATCAAGTCAACATCACAAAATAGCAGCAAAGTATCATTGTCAAATTGAGAAGAAGCCATTTCAAGACCAAGACCTCTGGAAAACTCGCCTTTCATAGGAATCAGGTTCATTTCTGCAGTAGGGTATTTGTTTTGATATTCTTTTATCAGCTCAGTGTGTTTGTTTGAATCTTGGCCAGAATCCCTGCTGAAAAGAATGATGACCAACTTTACATTCTGCTTTGGGATAAGACATGTGTTTTCAAAGTTCTCCATAAATCTCAAGAAGATGTCATACCTTCCAATGAGGGGGACAAGAATATGTATTTTCTTTTCATTAAGTCCTCCCATTTCTCTGGACGCTTGAAGAGAAGATAGTATCTTTAAGGAATTGGATACAAAGGAGAATGACTGAGCATCCCCGTTAATACTCTCCACAAGACTGCTGACATCAAGCTCTTCCATTTCTCTGAAGAAAGGCTTGCTGAACAACTGCTGCAGATAGGCGTGACGTCTCACAGGCACGGTCAGTTTCCTTCCTTTGTGCCTCTTGTATAGGAGTAGTAAATCCAAAATGTACTCCACCCCATACAGGGGATCCACCCTGCGATAGCCATATTGGATTTCCTTGAAGTCAATGAGCCTTCCTCGACTCTTGGCATTCTCATTGATCATCTCCATCACCTGCAGGACAATGTCATCCAGTGCTGTCCTGAGAACGCTGCTGACACTCTGTCGAGGAGGCTGGTTCTCAGCGGCTGAGTACAGGAGCTTCCCTGTCATGAACTCCCATTCTATCACGTCGTTTCTCTCCCGGGGCTGGAAATGATTGAAAGACGGCACTGCCCCAAGCTGCTGGTCCTCTTTACTCACTTCACTGTTACTGAGCCTGCTCATCAGAGCGCTTTCCCTGTGGAGCTGGATGGTGCGGTAGCGAAGTTCAGAGATTTTGCGACTGAGCATGTAATTATGCAGCCTGTATTGGTATGCGGGCCTTTTGTTAGGATGCAGTGTTATGGCTGCGTGGATCTTGCTGTTGTGAAGGTCTTGGATGTAACCCTTCCGGCTATGTTCGTAGTTTTCATGAAACAGTTGTTGCATCTAAAAGTAAAAGTAAATGGTAATATTAGCCTAATTTTAAAATAATCAGCAATCAACCAAAAGATTGAAACTAAAATAGTTGAACTAGTTTGTGAAATTTGTATTTAAAAAATGGAAAATTTTACCTTTTAAAAATGGACAAATACTACGGTATTTCTTGTGTACAATATGTTCGGAAGTGTATGAACATTACAGAATTAGTAAATCTAGCTAATGAACTTATTCATTACCTCACATGGTTACCAGTTTGAGGGATGAGAACATTTAATAATATTCAGCAAGTTTACAGAATATAATGCATTATTATTACTCATTAGTTGCACAATAGGTCTTCTTTATTTTTTTCTCATATCTAATCAAAATTTTGTATCATTTGACCAACTCTTTCCCAACCTTGCCATAATTTCCCCAGGCCTTTTGACCACCACTTTACTGTCTACTCCTATGAGATCAACCTTTTCAGTTTCCAAGTCCGAGGGACATCCTAAATGTCAAGTTCACATACTCAGACCCTGCAACCTAAGCTCCAGGTACATATTTGTCAATAATCTTTGCTTCCCTATGCATTTTGATGCTAATATGCAATATAAAAATACATAAGAACAGAATATATTTCTCTTCCATCACAGATCATTGCAGAGAAAAGAGGCAAATTCATATACCCTGGATGCTCAGAAATAGAAGGCTCACCTTGGGAAGTAAAAGCTTTTATCTACTGTAAATACTCCACCAACATATGAACTTGACCTCATTCATCATCAGTATAACATAGCTGCAAATCTAGAGTGTTTACACTAGGGTGCCACCAAAATGACTGCAAATGAACAGGCAGCGGGGGGCAGAACTCTGATACACTGGTGATGAGAACAGCACCTGACCCAGCCATGGGGACAACTGCGTCAAGTGAGATAGACACACTGCCTGTGGCTCAGTGACTCTACCTTTCCCTTCGATATGGTCAGCAAAAGCACACATAAATGTACACCTGGAGAATATCGCCACATTACTTACCATGCCCCCAAACGTGAAAACCCCAAATTTACTTTGAATGTAAGAGACACATAAATGTAACATTTTCAAGGATTGGAAAACTGTAGAGCAATAAAAAATAAGTGAAGTACTATGATGTACAAATAAGTAAATGGGCTAGGGGTGTAGCTCAACGGTATGGAACATGCAGGAGGTCCTGAGCTCACACGCATGTACACACACACACACACACACACACACAAAATGACAGAAGCCATTTAACAAGAGTGTATTTCATAGAATTGTATTTATGTGAAATTTAGAAACAAGTAAAGCTAACTACATTGCTAGCTGTTAAAATAGTGATAAAAAAATCAAAAAGTGGAAAGCGTGTGGTGTGCTGGCTAAACGTTCTATTAGATGACATGTATACACTTTGTTTGTCAACATTCACTTGTGATATGCTTGTTTCTTACACTCTAACACATGAATTAATAGAAGACTAAGATATGCATATGCAACCATGTAGAATTATATATGTTTAGTATGTTTTATGATACGTGTGTATACAAATGTGTGTAGAAATGAAGATGGAGAGAGACAGTGACACATACAAAGACAGACAGAGACAGAGAATGAAACAGATAATAAGACAGAGACAGAGACAGAGAGAGACGGAGACAAAGTGAGACACAGAGAGAGAGACAGAGACCCAGAAAGAGAGACAGCAAAACAGAGTGAGAGACAGTATCAGCATATTCTAAGAGAAGGTGACATGAAAGAGAGTGGATTAAAACACTATGGCAGGTTCTTTATCTCTGGTATTTCATTCGGCCTTTATTTTTTCATTTTCAGATAAATGTATAAGCAATCATCATTTGATTTTGAAGAAAATAACGAGTTATTTTGAGAAGGATTTAGAAGTTCATTTAAGATGTAGCAGTTTAATGACATCCAAATTTTTCCTACAAATATAGGCAAAATTTCATGTGGTCAAATTCATGTGGTCAAATTTTCATTTGGTCAAGTTATATAAAACTCAATCTCTAATTTATAGTGGACTTCTATATCTCCATTTGTTTTACCTAAAATCACTTTATTACTTTGAATTCTATAAATTTTCATGGATTTTTTTCTATGTAAACAGATAATGAAATCAGATCATATATTGACTGCACGAGGTATTAGTTATTTGAAACAATTCTTTCCTAAGACATGCTTTCTTTCTTAGATGAGACAATATACTAAATGAAGTTACAAACAATTCTCAGAGTTGAGCTGTTAAAATGTAGACAAACTTGCTCCTTTAGTGATATTAAATTGAGTAATTCTGCCCAATTTGACAAAGTTGACCCTGTAGCATAGAACAAATGATATCTTAATATGGAAGTGTATAATAATTATATCATTTTGATCAATTTTGTCTGTATGGGATATATTTTTCAAATGAATTTTTTGCAGAAATAGTATAAACAGAAGAAAAGCAGTGGTGCAGAAAATCCTTAAAAGTAGCCCATTTCTACCTACTCCAAGTAGTATAATAGTGATGAGAGTATCTAACTTAATTTAGTGTGCATTTCCCAGTGAGAAGCACAGAGCACATTCAAATTTTCTACCTTTATACGAAGGAGGATTTTAACCTATACAAATTAGATAGAAGACTCTTATGAGGTTGTCTGTGGAATCAGTCATGTGTGAATTAATGCGGGTTCCATCATTCCTGTCATTTTCTAGCCAACATGTTTAGATCACAGTCTCCATGTCTATAAAATCAATGTTATTAACATGCGATTACATAAAAGTATGTAAGGTGCTTGGTGTTGTGCCTGTCACATAGAAGCACTCAGTAAATAGTAGCTCTGTGTAAACATCAGCTGAGGGATATGCCAAACTCTGAGATGTTTCTCCTTAGCTAGGGATCTTCAGAGAATGCGAGTTATACCCTTAGTTCATTTGCTTCATCTTTATTTCTGGGAATGTTTGGGAACACTTATGAACTTGACTGGATACTCCAACACTTCAACATATTCAGAATGCCATGGAGGTATTTAATTATTTTAAGAGAGACATATTGTGAGGATTTCAAGAAACGGAGTTTTATGGGAGTTAACTTATGTAATCTAGAATAATAAGATTACAACTAAAATTCAAATCCTTATGGTTGTGAGTGTTGCTAATTATCACAATGCATTTTGCAGGTGCAAATTGTTTTAAGAAAAAAAGTACATGTTTTAAAAATTATAGTTGCTTATTAAAAAATGATTGAGAGCTTCCAATGTAAGTTAGTTTCCTCTTCTTTAAAGATTATCAGTTGATTTCATGATACTTCCAAAGCTTATTCTGAAAAAGAAAATTACTTCACAATACTAAAATCATAATTAACACCATGGCATTACAGTTAAACCCAGTACTTTAAGTATATCACCCATATTCTCACGCTCTGAGAAGGAAATATATCTGAGAGGCTATAAGAAAATCTATTATAAAAATCAGACAGAAGAAGAATAAGTACTAAGAAAGATCTGTGTATTAAATTATTACCCTTTTACTAGATGAAGACTTCTTTACCCCCTTAACCCAACTACTAATGAAAAATAGCATAGGATATTTATGGGACGATCATAGCTATATAAATGCTAAAGTAAAATTTAACATGGTGAAAAAATGAGAACCAAAACCTGCCATGTAAAGGTACAAGATCCCAATGATAAATGTAACTGTATTGTATACCTAAAAAGTACCAATAAACTTAATAAAAAAAGAAAATACTAGAAGGAAATGAAGTCATGTTACTTCTCTAGAATATTTCTCCAAACTATTAACACATTTGCTTCACCAAGCTAAGGGAAAGATTAAGAAAGACAAAGTCACTATACAAACAAAGCATATGGGCCCATATATTGAAGGAGACCAAAAGGCTCAGGGAGGGGATTATTCAGGAAAAACAGCCAATAGGAAATCTTATGACACTGATCAAGCAGTTCGTGAAAAGTAAACAATGAATACAGGTCTAATTAAAATTATTATATGCCCCATTCAAGGAAGTAGAGACAAGATATACATGTATGGTTGGAAAAGCAAGAGAAGTGAGCTGAACAGTCAATAAAGATGACTTGAAAAGAAAAGTGAAGAACCAACAGAAGCATGTTCCTTAGAGATGAGAAAATGGATTATTTTTATCCACTATTTTAAAAATCAAAATCAAGAAAATAACAACATTTAACATTTTCATCCCAACTCTGCACTTGCAGATTTCTACCATATTCATTTCATCCTACTCCCACAGAGAGAGCTACTTGATGTTCTCAGGATAATTGGCTTTTTATCTAAGAATCTCCTGCAAAAGTTGACTGTCTGAGCCCATTCATACAAAGCTTTAAGTACTTGAAGAATACTTTCAACATGAACAAGTAAGATGAACATAACCAAACATAAATATGAAATGGTCTAACTAGAAAACACCATGAATAGAAAAAGTCATAAATAAAACCCTAAAATTTCTAAAGAAAGATAAAAAAGGGATTATAACACATAAGGTACAATGGGCTGTTCTAGAACAAGAATTAGTTCTTATAAATTAAAAATATGACACAAAAATTTTAATAAAAATCAAGAGGTTAGGGCTGAGGATTTAGCCTGGTGGTTCCTCTGCCTGCTTCACAATCACAAGGACCCAAGTTCGATTCTTGGTACCAAAAAAAGCAAAAAAACAAAACAAAACAAAACAAAACAAAACAAAAAACACACGAGAGTTTAAAGAGAAAACAGAAACATTTTTTTTAAGTCTTAAAGCATTATTCAAATTTTAACCAATATACAGATATATTTGATATGAGTTTAAACCAATAAATTATCTTCATACATATAAATTTGGTAAGTATTATCTATATCAAAGACCTATGTTTTGTTAGGAACTTCCCACTATCTTCAGGAAGGGCTTATAATGTTATATAGAAGTGTTTCCTTTGCTTGTTATTCTAGGCAGCCAGGGTACCTTCTTTCTTAGAACTTTATCTGTCCCCCCTCTTCCC